TTTTCCAAACGAATGGGACTCAAACAAGGGCTATATATGTAATTAAAAGCACATATAAGTTATTTTCTTGCACCAACGCATACCTCCAGTTCAACAAACACCTCGGGAAGTGAACCAACCTCTCCAAGAACCTGTCCCACCAACCTATCAGCACGTGTAAGCGTAGGATCCATAGTGGTTCCGACCCCAATGAGGCCGCCAGGCACAGCAAATTGCAGTTCATTTTGCTCAGCATACAACGAAACTATTCTAGAATATATTGGGGTACATTTGATGTTTCCATTTTCGTCCTTAACAACAATACCAGGGCGAACCTCAATAAATTGATTCACCTTCAAAACACCCTGCACAAATAATCAATCAGCTCCTTTAATCATTGACCTTTTACAATTTAAGTTGCATGTGTTTGCTAATGAAGCAGAGAATGGGAGGAAAAATCATAACACGTAACTTGGAGAAAACATCAGCTTTATATAAAAACAGAATATTATCAGCACGATTGATATTCCAGGAAAAAGTCGGACAAGCAATTTTATCATAAAAAAGAGGCCAGTAGTAAAATATAGAATCTTTTTGACAGCACCCATTTCAGTAACAAATAAATATACCTTCAGAATACTTCCACCCGCAACCCCACCTCTAATTTCATCAACTTCAAATCCAGGCTTATTGACGTCAAAAGAACGGATGACAATCATATTTGGTGGTGAAATGAAGTTCCTTTCTGGAATGGGGATTTTTTTCACAATATATTCGCATACGACATCAATATTATACTTGAGCTGTGCAGAAATTGGTACCACTAGTGCACCATCTGCGATAGTTCCCTGAGAGCACAAAATGGAAGATTGTCTTATATAAGAAAGTTAATGTAATATACCAGATTATGTTAGATATGCATCACTAACCTGAATAAATTTCTGAATGGCTTCATGCTGGTTGATTGCAACATTTTCTTGAACTAGATCAACTTTATTCTGAAGAATTATTATATGCTGAAGGCGCATAATTTCAACAGCAGCTAAATGCTCTGAAGTCTGAGGTTGGGGACAGCTCTCATTGGCCGCTATGAGAAGTAAAGCTCCATCCATAATTGCCGCTCCATTAAGCATTGTAGCCATGAGAATATCATGACCCTATGGGTATTCAAATCAGCAACAGAACTTATCATCAGGAACATAAATGATCTTGAAGCCCAGAGACAAGACTAACACATAATATTCTATGGAACCGAGATACATTAAGTGAAAATTTGGATGGTATTGTTACAATAATTGTTTAGAGAAATAAATAATGTAGCAGTTTTTTGAGAAATGGCAACTCAAATACTGACCGGGCAATCAACAAAAGAGACATGTCTTAGCAGTTTCATCCTAGAGTTTTCAAACCCAGGCACATCACAC